TGCTGCTGCTGCTGCTGCTGCCGCACGGCGATCCAAATCCGACTTTTCCAAAATCCGAAAAAAGGGCGAAATTGCATGCTCACCGCGCTCACCAACGCACACCGCGCAGATGCCGTGCAGCTTGCATTTTGGGCGCCTAATTTCCAAGCAGCGGCGACTGACGACAGCCAACAGAGGCCAATTGCAACTCAGCGCAATCCTAGCCCCGATGCTGCCTTGGCCTACATTGACGTTGGTGCTGGACATCGCACCGAGAGTGGATCCTTGCGAAAGCTGCCCAAGAATCTGTTTGCTTTCTCGCCAGCGTGCGGGCGGGCGGGCGTGTGTGCGCGAAAGGCTCGGCTGCAAAAGCGCCGACGGAGCAGCGCGGCGCAAGGTCAAAGTGCTCGTCGGCTAAGAGCGGTTTGGACAGGCAAGCTGCGCTCCGAAGCGGCTCCCGGCTGCGCGTCAAAGGCAGATGGATGCAGGTTTATTTTTGGTGCTCCCCAAGATCGCACCGCCAACCGAGCCGACCCAAAGGGCCCAACCCCAGGACCCTCGATCGTTCGTCTTGGCGGGCATCCATGACTGCTGTGCCTTGGATCAGCGAGTACGAACGAGTGCCATGCATTCATACCGGGGGCCAACCACGGCATGGTCATCGTCTCGCCCGCTCAAAAGGCATCGCAGGCCAGGATCCGTAATCAAGGTTTGCTCGAGGCAAATCGAAGGAAAGTGTTCTACGACGATCGACCTGTCAAGTTGCCGTCGCCTTTGAATCATGCCGGGCCAGCCAGCGCTTCTCGGCTGATTGCAGATCGCAGCGATTGCACGGCACCCATGGGGAAATTCAGCCAAGAACTCATTTCCAAAATCGCGCACAAAACAAAACCAAAAAAAAAGCCAGGCCAAAACGTGCCTCGCGGATCCTCGCCCTTTGTGATGCGCTCACTCTGCATGAACCTCCTGCAAGACCTCGCTCCTCATCTCGCGCCCTTGTCCTGGCTCGATGCGTGCACTGAGACAACAAACCGTCAGCTGCTGACGGCTCTCACACCTTCACACAGGCAGCATTGTCGGTCGGTCCGATTCCAGAATGTTTGCCCGGTCCCGCGCCACAGATCTTCGCCCACCCAACGCAAGACCCTCGGCGCCAAGACTGGGCGGAAGCGGCTCAGCGGAAGCATGTTGGATGCCGTACCTGCCAACGCCCTTCGCCTAGCTTGCGCTGCAGCCCTCGGAGCCTGACAACCAAATTCAGGACCCACAGCCGGCCGCAGTCTAACATTTGCTATCAAAGCACACAGCTCGGCCCAGAAGTGATACGGCGTCAGGTTCGCAGAGCATCCGATACAAAGCCAGTAAGCTAGTCGCTCGGAATCCGAACCACATCCGTCATAAAATCAAGGTGAAAATACCAAAAAAGCGAAAGAAAAAACGGGGCTGGAATTTGCCCTCCAAAATCACCATACTGACTGCGGCGTTCCCAAGCGATGCTGCGGATGTACATCACAGGCCGGCTGTGATCAGACATATGGCAGCGTTATCTTTGATGATCACGATCGGACACGGAGCCTTGTGTGCGTGATGAGCACGGTGGCATTTTATGCAACTATGCCGAAATGTCGCCATGGATCCGCCCTCCCAACGCGCGCTCGAGCCCCTCGATAGCTGCACCGACCTGCCAAACAGCTCATCACCCACGCCCACGCCATTGTTTGCCCCCACCTTAGCATCTGCAGCTTCGAGAATCTGCCTAGTGCATCCCCGTAGCGCTGTCCGGGCAACCCGGTAAAGAGTATAAAGAGCGAGTGAGAGAAAGCAAAATTTGCCCCTCTTCACCAAGTCCCCCTTACACCGTTCCCTTTGGATCGAACCATCCGTCGGTTTGTGATAAAGAAGCGTCAAGATGGCGGACAGCCTGCAGCGCCTTCAGGCACGCTTTCAGCGCTTGCTTCTGACCAACCTGGCCGGCATCCGAGCTCTCAGCACTCTCCCACCAGGCCGTCGAGGCGCCGGACCGCTTGTGTACCAGCCTCGACTCATCTCGGCCACGAGGCGATCGGGTGGATCGCGACTCTTGTCGCCCCACCCTCGGTCCATGCATCCCGAGCAGCGTTACCGACGCGAGCAACGCGCTGCAGCCTTCCTTGAATCCGTCGCCGACGTTGCTCATGGCACCGACGACGAGTGGATCGATGAAGACCTCCAGCGTGCTCCCAACCGGCGCTACCACGAGCGCAGCTACGCCGACGCAGTTGCTGCGAGCGAGCGCCAAGCCCTACTCGCCGTGCTGCAAGGCACTATCGAGCTCCAGCAAGGCACTATCGAGCTCCAACGCGCCACGCTCGAATTCGTCCAGAGCCTCGCGAGACAGCCGCGTGAGTCAGTCCTGGTTGCGGCACTGCGCAAGCTGGCAGAGTGGCCAGGCACTTTCTATCGCGCACTTGTGCGCCCAGCGATCGTGGCGAACCTCCGCTGGATCGGAGCGGTTCCGCGTCAGACGCTGGGCAAAGTCGTCCGTGCGGCTGCGAGCGCCTACGTATCCGCGGTGACGGTCGGCGTCCGCACCCGCGCCCGAGACAAAACCATAGGCCCAACACCCAAAGCGACGCCGCGACAGAAGGCCCGCTCGATCCTCGGCATCGCATTCGCGCTCGGGTCGCTGCACACGCTCCGACCCTACATTCGCATCTTCTCGCCCGACTTCTTTGCGCCGCTCTTGTCGCCGCCGGGTATCGAGCCGATGATCGGCGTGCTCGTCCATACCGCCTCGCTGCCCCTCCTCCTCGCTTCGGTCGCCACCGCAAAGTACTTTGCACGCCGCTTGCGCACCAACTCTCGCGACGGCTCTCCGCGAAAGCGCTCAAGCCGGTCCACCCGCCAAGAATCCAGCCGCCCTTCCGACTAGCCACGCACTCAAAGCAAATGCCCAAATATTGTTACCTTGACCCGCTTGTTGCGAGCGTGTATTGCTGAGCGTGGTGTGTGCGCTAGTTGGATTTGAGCGTGCGCTGTTTCTCGGCCGCCTCGACGATGCGTTGTGTGACGAAGAGGCCCTGCATGAACAATCACTAGTCAGCTCTCCTCCCCTCTCCTGTTGCATGAGCCGAGTTTGTAGACTTACCTTTCGCTTGCGCACCGCGTCCATGTACTTCTTGGCCACATTTTCCTTGTCGCCCTTTTCGCCCAGATCCTCCAGCTCCTCCTCGGTCCTGGGCACCCAAAAGGGGTCGAGGTCGAACATCTCGAATCCCTTAAAGATCAACTGCGGAGAGGCGGCGCCGCTGGTGCGTTTTCGAATCTCGTCTGCGAAGCCGAAACTCTCCACGACCGGCAGCAAACTGCCGACCGTAAAGAAGCTGGTTCCCTCCTTCATCTCCTCGGAAATGATCTTTCCCCTACGCTTGGCTAGCACCGCATGAACCTTACCCAGCACCTCGGTGGACGCTTGGATGTCGCACGAGTACATGGCGAGCATCAGTCGCGGCGACCAGTCGAGCAGCGCGGATTTGCAGCTCTCGCGGAAAGTCGACATGAGCGGACCCGTAACCGAACCGGTAGCCGACGAAGCAGAGAGAGATTCGATGAAGAACGCAACACCCTGCATGGGTTCTGCGCACAGAGGTCCTGCAGAAGTCGCCATCTGGAAGCCGGAATCAATGCTCTCGTTGAGCGCAGCGAGGTTGACCACCGTCCGACCAAAGTCGTCGGAAACGTCCATCTGATCCAGTGCCTCGGACAGCTTTTCTACACCCACAGCCTGCGAGTCGGCATGCGCAGGAGTGCCGATCCCGGACGACTGGCGTGTAGCTGCACGAGATGGGTCGGTTCGGTTGCGTAACGACGTACGTCCACCCGTTCGGTCAACCAAGATGTTCGCGCCCACCCGGCGTGGGCCGAACGAGACGATCTTCTCGACCACCTCTCGCCAGTCCTCGCCCGTCCTGTCCTGCCCGCACTTGTCCAGCACCGTCTGCAGCGTCTGCCAGAACTTGTCCGCACGCACCGTCTTGCTCGCCTGCGACCCCGCCGCGTCCACGCTGCCCGAATCGTCCTCGCCCTCGGCCGACGAACCGCGGTTCTGCAGTCGCCGCAGCGTCTGCGTGTTGGCCAGCAACAGCTCCACCACCGGCTGCGGCAGTGGCACCGCACGCACGCGGTACGTCACAGCACCACTGGCAACGTTACCGTCAACCGTGCCGCGCGGTGCACCGTCGAGCTTCGGCGGCGCCATCTCGGGCGCACGCACGCACGTCTCGCGGAACGGCACCAGCGGCGCACTCACCTGGATCTCGCACTTTGCGAAGCGCTCGCGCAGGTCCTTGAGACACCGTTCCAGATGCAGCTCGCCCGCAGTGAGGATCACGTGCTCGCCCGTATCCTGCACCAGCGACTCCACACACGGATCCGCCTGGTTGAGCAGCTTGAGGCCCTCGACGAGCTTCGGCATATCCTGCGGGTTCATCGGCTCGAGCGCCACGCGTACGATCGGCGCAGACAGCATGTTGATCCCCGCGAGGTTGACGAACGTCGACGCCGCCGTGCGCGCGTCGATGGTGGCAGCGTCTTGGTGGCGCTCAATCGCGTAGCTCTGCACGAGCGACGGCGCGCACAGCGTGGCGTTGCGAAGCACCCGACCCTCCATACCGCGGATGGCAAATACGTTGCCCGCCGGCACCTCGTTGACCGCCAGCAGGTCGCGGCCCATCACCATGTACAGCGCCTCCAGCTGCACCGCCTTGATGTGCTTGGCGTTCGACGCGTGCGACGGCGCCAGCTGCGTGTTGTACTTGGGCAGCAGCGCGTACATCCACTGTCCCACGCGCAGCGTTCCCGAGTACAGCCTGGCAAATCCCAGCACCACCTCGTCCGAGCCCTCTTCCTCCTGCTCTTCCGCCGCGTCCTTCTCGGCCTGTGCTTCGGCCTCGCGCTGGGCACGTGCGGCGCGCTGCGCCTCGGCTTCTTCAAGACTGGTGCCGTTCGCCTTGCCGTCCCCGTCGGCGGCGCCGTCTTCCATGCTCGCGCCCGTGGCGGCGAGAGCGGCGCGCACGGCGCTCTGGCGCTCCCGGCTCTCCTTTGCGCGTTCGCGCATCTGCTCGGCCGTGAGCGGCGCCTTCTTGGCCTCGGGCAGATCCTCCTTCTTGACCGCAAACATCTTGGACACGTATGCGACGCGGTTCGACTTGGGCCCGATCTCGGCATTCATCAGATGCTCCTCCAGCGGCGTCTTGGCCCGGTAGCTGCCGCGGTCAAAGTAGCTCATGTCCGGATTGAGCATCATGGGGATGCGCTTGGCCTGCGCCTTGCTGGTGGGCGGGATGACGTAGATGATGGCGGCAAACGCGCAGCTGGCGAGCGGCAGCCACTGGCTCACCACCGCCTTGATGAGCGTCGAGGCGTCTTTGGACTTGAGGTCGCGCGGATGCACCTTGAGGTTGAGCGACGAGACGATCTTTTCGATCTTATCCTGGTCGCGGTTGTCGATGATGGCGTCGTAGACGGACCAGATGTTCTCGAGCACAAATTGGACGAACATGGGCTTGAGCGGGCGCCTCTCCTTCTCCTTCTGCTTCTGGCTGAGCACGCGCTTGGTCTTGGGGTCAAAGTAGAAGTCGCCCCACAGCACCTTGCGCAGCTTGTGCTCCTGGATGCCCATCTTCTTGGCGTAGAGCATGGCGAAGCGCTCCAGACGGAACGCCCAGTTGTCCATGGCCGAGGCAAAGATGACGTTGCCCTTGGACGGGTCAAAGTAGATGTCTTCGTCGTCCCTCTCCTCGCGGTCGTTGTCGTCGTTGTCGTCGTCGGCTGCATCGTCGCCGGTGGCTGCGGCGATCAAGTCGTTCTTGGCCTGCTTGCGCGCGGCGATGCGCTTCTCGCGCTCCTCGTGCCAGCGCTCGTCGTCGTCCATGCGAGCCGAGGCGAAGAAGGATCCGACCACGGCGTTGACCTGCTCGATGACCTGGATGAGATGGTGGTAGGCTTCATTCGGCGAGAGCTTGAGTTCTGTGATGAGGCGATCCACCTTGTTGAGCACGAGGATGGGCTCGAGACCGTCCTGCCATGCCTGGCGCAACACGGTGACTGTCTGTGCACACACCCCCTCCACGACGTCGACGATGAGCAGCGCACCGTCGCAGAGCCTCGAGGCGGTGGATACCTCGGACGAGAAGTCGACGTGGCCGGGCGTGTCGATGAGGTTGATCATGAAGTCCTGGATCGGAGGCAGGTTGTCGGGATCCCAGCCCTTGGTTGGGTCGTGCACGCGCATCTTGACCGAGAGCGAGACGGCCGATGCCTCCATGGTGATGCCTCGTTCCTGCTCATCCTCTCTGGAGTCGAGGTAGCGGATCTGGCCCGCCATGCGCGCCGAGATGATGTTGTTTGCCGCCAGCAGCGAGTCGGCAAACGACGACTTGCCGTGGTCGACATGGCCGATCAAGGTGCAGCAGCGCACATTGTGCGAGCTGAATCGCTTGCCGTCCGTCGCCATGTTGAGAGACGAAGAGGACGAGGCTGCGATTGTCCGAGGCTGGCTTGCACGTGCGTTCGCTGTGATGAGCAGACGCTTCGACGGCAAGATAGGTTGTGGTGGTCTGTGAGCGAGCTCAAGCGGCAGCACAATGGGAAGCTCAGTTGTTCGTCATGGCTGAGTTGTTCCTCGAAAGCAACTTTTTCTTGTGGTTGCTGTGGAGGTGGTGCCCGATTTTGTACTTGATCGGGATGTGCGACAGCCCCGGAAGTCGGAATTGCTGGCATTTCTCCACCCGCGGCAACTTTTGGGGGGCGCACGTCAAGTTCGGCTAGATTCGATTCTCTCGCTCGCGCTCTAACCTCGACCACCACCACAACGCCATGGCTGAGAAGCGAAAGACATCACCGCCCATCTCGTACCGCGAGGCTGCGCTCGTCAAGAGGCAGCGACACGATGCAGACGATGGTGCAGCGGGGTCGCAGCAGATCGCCATCGCCTCTTCCAAGGATGGTCAGGACAAGGGTCTCGTCCGCTCGGTCAAGCGCACCTCGTCTCTGTCGCACCCTATCCTCGGCCTGACTGGCGCACATACATCGGAAATCCTGGATGCCAAGTTCTCGCGCGATGGGTCCCGCATCGCTGCCGCTTCGGCCGACCGCACCATCTCCATCTGGAGCGTGTATGGCGACTGCGCCAACATCGGTGTGCTCAAAGGCCACTCCAAGGCGGTAACGTGTCTGGCGTTCAGCAACACCCTCTCGGATGCGCTCTACTCTGGCTCAGCAGATGGAACGCTCATTGCATGGAGTCTCGCTACCGGCGAAAAGCAGCGCCGCTTACGAGGCCACCGGGCCATCGTCAACCGTGTCTCGGCGACGCGGTCGGGTCCCGAACTGCTCGTGTCTGGTTCGGACGACGGCAAGGTGATGATCTGGGACCCACAAGCTAAAGAGCCACTGGACGTGCTCGATGTAGGATACCCGGTGACGGCAGTTGCATTCTCGGACGACTCGAGCCAGATCTACATTGGCGGCATCGACAACCAGGTGCACATCTACGACCTTGCGCGCAAGACGACCGTGCTTTCGCTGCGCGGGCACATGGACACCATCACGTCCGTTTCGCTGTCACCCTCGGGATCGCATCTGCTGACGACGTCGTTCGACGATACGCTGCGCATCTGGGACGTGCGTCCGTTTGCGCCCGAGCCCAATCCGGCCGATCCCAACGCAAACACAGCCAATCCACGACTCTACCGCACGCTGCGCGGCACGACGTTTGGCGGATTCGAAAACCTGCTCATCAAGGCGGGATGGAGTGCGGATGGCGAGAAGGTCGTGGCAGGAGGTGCGGATCGAACGTGCACCATCTGGGACGTAGAGTCGTCGACGATTCTGTACAAGCTGCCAGGTCATAGAGGCACGTGCACCGCTGCAGTCTTCCATCCGCGCGAACCGGTCGTCGTGTCCTGCTCCACCGATATGACGCTCCTGCTCGGCGAAATCGACCCATAGTGTCAGTTCCTTCGGCACGAGCATCACGCTGTAGAGTCATGGTAATCTGCATTTTCTGTCATTCAAGATCTAGACAAGGCTCGGCTTTGGGGTTGGGGTCGACAGCGGTGCTTGCGTTCGATTGGGGCTCAAACCTGCATGGAAAACGATGTGGATGGAGTGTGCGAGACACTGGGCGGGGAGAAGACAACCTGCTCGAGCTACGCGTCGCAAAGGCAGTGAAAAGGTAAGATCAAGGACTCTATCAGGAAAAAGGTGGCGGAGGAGGACATACCTTGCTGAGACGGTCGCTGAGCTGGGTGCACGTGTCGGTGGTATTGATGAGGCGGTTCTGGATAGAAACCAGCGCGTGCTGCATGGTGCACAGTTCACCTGCCTTTTCGAGACGGCACACAATCTCGTGCAGCGTCTTGTCGCTTCCCGCCCTCACCTCTGGGCTCTGGCTGGCGTGGGGGGACTGCGTGGCTTGCGGGGTCGCATCGGTGCTGGTGGGGGTGCTACCTGTGGCGTGTGAAATGACAATGCTCGGTACTGCACTCACCTCTCTGCCCTGCTTGGGGGCGGAAGGCTGGACAGGGTCGGCGTCAAAGTGCAGGTCGATGAGTGAGCCTTCGAGCAAGTCGATGTCCTTCTCGGTTGCCTCTGCTTTGGATACAGGCTCGGCATTTGCGAGCGAAGGCACCTGCGAGAGACGGTCTTCGATCTTGCACCGAAGCAGAAACACAAGCATGAGACCAGGACGCTTCTGGAAGAGCTTGTACATCTTGTCCGGGTGGCGACGGATCATGGCGTCGAGCGTCTCGATGTGCGGCGTTGCGCGGGCTTCCAGCACGGAAAGTGTGGTCCGCGCCGCGTCGACAGAGCTTCGACGCTCCCCATCTTCAGCTCCGATGCCGAGTTGAGGCGTAGGCTTGTCGGCCTCTGGCACGTCGTCGGGAATCGACGATGCTTCGGGGCTCATGCAACCTTGCGTGCGCAGGGCTTCGGTCGCACGAGCGAGTCGCTCGAACTGCGAGTCGGTGAGTCGAGCAATGTGGCGCGTGCCGATACCATGACAGCCGTCAGTGTTTGTCTTGGCATCCCGCCCACGCAATTCGCGGTGACTACGGCCTTCTTTGTTGCGACGGCTTTCCTCCGCGAGACGATGTCTGCCGTTGGGAAGCGCTCGAGACTTCAGTACCGGCGTCTTCTGCGCATCGTCGACCTGGCTTCGGGGCTTGTTGTCCTTCGAGAGCGGGCTGCGACTGATCGAGGTCAGGTGGGATGACAGGCCTCCGTCCGTGTACAGACCCGAATGGGCCGACGCGCACTGCGAGCCAAGTACGGATGGCGGGTTGGTGATCTGCACGCGCCACGTCTGGATCCTCTTGATCGCCTCGGGCTCGGACTCGTTGGCGAACATCGAGGTTGCAGCGCTCGAGGCATGTGCGTGCACTTGTCCGAACGTCTCGTGCCTGGGGAATCCGGGCGAGGCGTCGGGACGCCAACCACATTGCGCCTCGCGACTGCTGTCGGCAAGCCGGGTGGTGTCGGAAGAAAAGTCGGACCGAGGCTTGCGTCGGCGAGCGGACGATGAGATGAGGCTCTCGAGCTCGTCGGCGAGTCGATGCGCGTCCACTTGGTGGTTGACGCGGTATGCTCGAGGCTTGTCGGCGTTGGTGCTGTCGCCATGCGTGGGGATTTCGGCTGCTGCACGCGCGAACTGATCGACTCGTTTCTTGTCTTGAAATACACCGAGACTAAACGTTGACGCCGGAAGAGGCTTTGAGTGGAGACTGTCCACTTTGCCAAAGCGAGGTATGGGAGCATGCACGGGTGTGGGCGGGAGTGGACGGCTGACCGATCGGATCGGAGGCGGAACAGCTGGACGCGATACACTGGCTTGCATGTGCGCAAAGTCAGGTCGACCCTTACCCAGTGCATCCTCAAAACCGTTGGTATGCCTTTTCTTCGGGCTCATCGCCACGGGTGGGACCAGAACCGGCGTCGGGGGCTGGGGCAGTTGCGGAAGAGGCGGCAGTGGATGGAGAGTTGAGGTGGTGCTGCCCTCAGGGTCGAGACGCTCGCGGATCGCCTCGAGAACCGCAACCGCGTCTCGCTGGTTGGCTTCTGCCGTCACCTCGGATGCCTTCATCCGAGGACTGCGAGCCTGATGCTCAGCTGGAAGTTCGTTGACAACATGCGTAGTTGATGTCTGAGCAGTGTCTACGCTGTCCGACGTATCGCTTGGAGGCTGAGCGGTCGCGGACTGGTCCTGCTCCTTGGAATTGGACAGGAACCTGGCCACGGCTTTGATTCTGGCTCTGACACCTCGAAAGCGTTTGTTGGGCTGTGCCGCAAAGGCGTCCTGATCGACGCTGGATCGAAGGCTACCGGCTGCGTCGGGAATGACGGTGAGAGGGTGCCAGTGAACATGCTTGGCATCGCGAACAACGTCGCTGTCCGATATCGTCTCAGAGTGGCTCGGCGTGTCGGGGCGACTGATAACGCTACCATCATCCGGAGAGCCGTACATGACGATAGAGAGGGAGCCCCGGGTACGGAAAGGCTGACTCAGAGTAAGAGGCGATCCTACGAACCGCAGCGGCTCCTTTTAAGCAACAAAGCCAGCCAGCAACAACGGCCCTTTCTATGACCTCGTACCACAGGCACAAGCGCACAGCGGACTTTGTCAGGGTATATTCGATGTGCGGAACAGGGGGGAGAATGTCTGTCGACATGGTGGGTACTAGATTAAGCTCGCCTCCGTGGCGGTATGGAGGAGAGGTGTGGTATAGATGATGCGGTGACCGTCGAGGTCGCACAGATGCAGTTCCTGTGCGTCCCATGGTGTCTGCTGGATCCCGCCGAGAAGCCTTGCACTGTCGGACAAATGGGCGATGCCGAACGAGTCGTGCGTGGCTTTGGCCTGGTCGAGCCTCCACTCGTTGAGCTTTGCGGTGAGGAGCGAGTGCATCGCCTCCAGCTCGCCGCTGCATTCGACGAGCACAGTCGCGCCCGAGGGCGCAGAGGCTGCGGAGCGCAACGACAGACTCGTGGCGGGAAGCTTGAGCGGGCCAGGCTCTGTGCAAGAGTGGCTGAGAGATTCGGGTGAGGGTGGCAGCCAGGACTGGGTCGGCTCGGGCTGCTCTTCTGGCGTAGGCGGGAGCACTGCGTATCCGCTTCCGAGCGGATCGATCCTGGCGCCATTCTGAGCCGTAGAAATCAAGCTTAGGCGCGAGAAGTTGCTAACCGCGGTCGGCGGCGGTGCATGGCGAAGGCTGCGCAGGCACACGGTTGCCGCTGAAGAGCCCATGACCGCTTGCACGTCCTCCGTGTGCGAAAGGCAGGAGAAGCCCAAGACCCGGATATAGAAGGCCATGGAGCTGGCAAGGTCCTTGACCGGCAGCAGCGTCATGCCCTTGAAAGGAGAAGGTGCAGGGCCCACACCTGAGGCCCTGCTGTCTTCGATGGGGGAGATGGGCAGATCATCGGAAAGCTTGCTGCAAAGTGAGAGCGGAGGCGAGAGAAGGGGGACGTCTTGAGCAAGAATGGGCGAGTGCTTCGCAAAGTGCATGCGCGACTTGCGCTGCGCCTCTCTGCGCTCTGCGGACATGCCGGTGCTCCTGCGCCGAGCCAGTTCGCTGTTGGGGTCGAGTCCGGCGAAGATGCGGGTGCGCTCTGCAAGTTCGTCTGCCCAGTCGTCGTCGTCCTTCTTGGCCGGCTGGGAGCTGAAGCGGCCAGCATTTGCGAGGAAGCGCTCGGCTTCCGCTCGGTCGTGGAAATGCTGCAGCAAAGGGCCAGGAAACTGCACCAGGGTGGGAAAATAATAGAATCAAGGTTAGTGGGCCACCCTGCGGATGAAAGCTTTGTGATTGTTGAAAGGAGCGAGCACTTACGTTTCGAATTTGGCGCTGAGCTTCTTCCTTGGTTGTGTAGATGCCTTTCTTCCATCCGCGTCCGACAGCATAGAACAAAGAATCGACGGATGCGGTGCCAGCAGGGTCTACAACGACGTCGTATCGAGGAGGTTGGTCCACGTCCGAGTCGTCGGCCGACTGAGGTTGGCGAACTGCAAGGCGCTCTGACACGATGGTGGTGAAGCGAGGTTGGGACGCGCTGCTGTTGATAGCGAATGGCGACTGGGGCCGAGCAAGCGGAGCGACGGCCTTAGGCGGCGACGATGAGACCCGTGCAGAGTTGGTGGAGGAGCATCGAGCGCGCACGGTGGATTGGATCCTCGGCGCTGGCAGAGCCTCGTGGACAATGGAAACGAAGAGCGGCTGCTCGTCTGCATGCGGGCTGCCGAGCTTGTTCGGTCGACGTGGGCTGCGGCTTGTCGAGCTTCGTCCGAACTCGTGGCCAGCGTGTGCCTCTGCAGTGGCGGGACGCTCGATTGCGTGCGAGTGCGGCATCCGACTCTTTCGGTTGCCCCGATAGCTGGCGGAGCAGACATGGTTGATGCTCGAATAGCCAAGTCCGTAGTCTGCAGGCCCCGAGAACGAAGTCGGGCCTTCCGCCGCGGACGTACTGTTGGGGGTCGAGTTGGGGCGGCCAGATGACGTCGAAGATGCTGCCAGCTCGACGGAGCGACGCTTGGGCCGCAGCGTGAGCTTTCCGAACAGTATCGAGTTGCGCTCTCCCATGCTGTCGGTCAGATGATTCGATTGTCTCCGCGCGACGCTGTATGGTCACTGTGACTTTAGGGTAGGGATATGCGGCGCCTCTCCTGAGCGGCAGCGGACGGTGATGGGTCGGAGGAGCCGTCCGGCGAGCACAGTGCCGTGGCAAGTTGGAAAGGTCGGCTCTAGAGATGCGTCTGCGATAGGCAAGGGTTGGTGGGTAGTACAAAAGAAAGCTGGGCACGAGGCACCCGCATCGTGTGGGTTCTATATACGCAGGCCACCCACATTTTGGGGCTCATCTCAGGGCCGCAACGGCAGCCAATGCACAGCCGGAGCGACGCTGCAAGCCAGAGCGGTGGCGACACCCGAGGGGCACAATGGCCGACTTCGGAAGAGCGACACCCACGAGCACCTGCCCTGAGCCCGGGCTTGCCCTGAGACAGGCAAACAGCGCCGGGCGACCGAAGGCGAATGAGCCTACGCCCGCACCAACCAGCTTAGGGCCTCGGCTGCAGAGCAAGCTGCTCCAATGACTTTATGCAGGCCGAAAAGTGGGAGAGAATTTAGAGTCTGGTACGAGTGTGCGGCCCACGTAGGGTTTGGCAGTTCTGCCAAAAAGAAGCAGCGTCGAGGCGCAGCGAGGGTCCCGCGCATTTGTCCGAGAGGTCGACCAGATTGGGTCCCGCGCCGCTTGTCTTGGCATAGAAGGTCGATGGATCCCCGCGCTCCTGCGCCTGCCCACTCAGCGAAAATCTCGGCAAAACCCATCCATGCATCCATCCATGCACTCTTTCAAGGTCAGGCGCGAGACAGATGGTGGCGTTCGAGGCTCCACACCGCGGAGTACACCAACTTGCGCTGTGTAGCCTTGTCGTTCCCCTTCATTGCCCCACGATCCTCTTCATTGGCTCGTAAGCAAAGACCAGACACGCCGTCCCGGAGCGACCGAGAGCAACGCTCGGCACGGATGACGAGGAGAGCTGAAGCTGAAGCAAGGGTGACATCAGACGGATGTTGGCGGCTCGGGCCGACTTGCTTGGTGCGGTGCGATTCCGAGGCCAACGTGGGAGGCTGGTAGGGAAACGTGCGACTGCCCGTGTGAAGGCGTCACCGGCAGCACCGGCAGCACTGGCCGCCCTGGCTGAAGCAGGCAGCGCGGTTCCGCCGCTTCTCAGACATTTGGCAATTTCCAATTGGGCGGTCGCCTTGGGGCCAGCCCCGTTCCGCCGGTCTCGAATCCCGTCATCCGCCCACGCTAGCAGCCTCTCGCGACCTCAGCCTTTCACCCCTTCTTTGTGCTCACCGGCCCCCATCCTCCCTGCACGCTGTGCTGATGAGAGTCGCTGCAGGAAAGACAAACGATTCTGATACATGGCTGCGGAACGATCGCTGGTCGAACAGGTGCATCAGTCCTGGGAGGGAGGATACAGTGGCAGCCATCTCAAGCTATTGCGGGACCGGATGCGCACGTTGCTGCGTGCAGCAGGGCGACGGCGACTCGACTGATCCAAACCGAGATTCGGCACTCTCCGTCTTGCCTTTCTCGGAGCGCGGACGGTCGGAACGAAGCCACAACCACGGATGTCGGCTTCTCCAATCGTTGAATCATGCCGACTCCCGACGTGCTGTTTATCGGCCGAATTCTAAGTCGGACCTAACATTTCAGCAGAATTTCGACCTGGACACCGCAGCTGAAACACACACACACACACACAAACGCGTGGCTCAAGATAGCAACCAAAACACGCGAATGTCCAGTTCGCCTTGGCCTGCAATGCTTGCACGGTTGCCAAATACTCCTGGCCGGACATGCTCTGTTTCTGACCAATCCGCCCGTCAGCGATACTGATTGATTGCTGCAGCGGACTGTATTGATAGTCCTCGGAACATTGATAACCGCTGCCAAGTCAGGATGATGGGTCGTGAGAGCAGCATCATGAAATGAGATGGATTTTGGAGAAAGGGGCAGAGGCGGAGGAGCTGCAAGCTGAAAATCCAAAGAGCCGCTTTTCCTGCACTGCCAAAGCAAAACGCTCCAGCTCGGCGTTCACACGAGTGGGCAACACCCGCTCCATCAGTGTCAGAGTGCCTCGGTGAAGGTGGATGTCGCCGTACGATGGATCGGCTCACGCCTCCGTTTCTACATCGTTTGTTCCTCCATCCATCCTTCATCTTGCTGGCTCACATTCGCTCGTCTCCGTTCACTCTCGACTCTTCCCCTTCCCTTCTTCCTCTTTGGTGTCGCTGCACGCACAGGTCGCGAGGCTCCAACTCGAGCGACTACGGTGCTTGGCTCATCCAACTCGAGCCTCGATCGGCGCATCTCCGATCCCACTCCTTCCGCCCTTTGTTCTCGCTCGGATCTCTGCAACCTAGCTTCGCGTCCCTTGACTCCTTGCTCCCCCAGTCCACTCGTTTCATCGACGCCCGGACCTTCACTTTTCGACCGTCACACATTTCCCATCTCGACTTGCTTGCGATCCCCTTTCAAAGGCCATGCATCCTTGAGCCATTCGGCACCTTCATCTTTCGAAACCTACGGCACTTAATCGCGGACTGATCATATCGACAGCTGGCTCGTCGTGCAGATCTGCGCTCGCCCTTCTTTCACCCTCAACAGCAGCTCGTTTCCGCATCACCGGTTGCTGGCTCAACTCGGCGAATCCTCCACAAGTCGTCCCACCGCACCGTCTCGCCATCTAGATTCGACCGCGTTCTTATCCTTTCCTCTACACCTCAACAGCACTCCGCTGTCGGGCCCTCCTCTCACCCACGGAGACTAGGCTGCAGTCCACCGATCCCCACCTCGGCTCATCACAACTTCTAGCAGTGGCCCTCCATGTGTTGCGGAAACGCGAGCTGGAAGCGCGAAGAGGTGCCGGATCACAAGTTCGACTTCATCGACGTCCGTGACTTTCGCAACAATGGCTGCTTTCAGCAGTTCAAGTACGCCTTCCTCTTCATCATGGTCGTCAAGTCGTTCGCAGTATACGTCGCCGACATCTATACCGCCGTGACCCTGCTCGCCTTTGGCCACTTTAGCGGCAGCCTGTACGACAAGGTGCAGAACGATCCGCAGAACAACTTCCGCGTGCCCATCTCGTACGGCCGCTGGATCTTTACCGGCTGCATCATCTTCTCCTTCCTGCTGCTCGCCTACGAGGCGCACAAGTCGAGGGCCATCGTCAAGAGCCGCGACATCAGCTATGCATACACCAACGTCATGGCCAACAACTACTACTCGCTCCGCAGCTACAACCACTTTTGCTTCTTCGACCACATCAACGACAGCAAAAAGAAGAAGGACGAGCTCGCCTTCTTCATCTTCTTCACCTTCAAGGGCTGGAAGCGTCTGCTCGTCGCCGACGGCCCGCGTCAGGTCATCAACTTCTTCACCCTGTATGGACTCGGCTCGTTTGCCAACTGGAGCACCAATCCGTACGACTACTACGAGGGCAACATCTTCACCGGCATCATGATCCTCTCGATGCTCTTCACCGTCGCCGTCTTTGCCGGCTCGCTCATCCTGCTTATCATCGCCGCCGTCGCCTACATCCCGCTGCTCTGCTACATCAAGGGCAACCTCAAGGAATACTGCTGCCACAAGGTGGACAAGCGCGTCACTGAGCTCGTACAGCGCAAGAAGAAGCAGCGTCTCGCCAAGGTGGCCGAGATCGCTCGCAAGGAGGCGGCCGGCGACTTTTCGCATCTGATGAACAAGAAGGGCGAGATGGTAGGCACTGCCATCCCACAGCCCACCTTGCCGACCGTTGATGTGGATCTGCTCAACGACGAAAAGCCAGGCAAGGCGGGCGGGCTGCAGCGAAACACCAGCGTCGGAAGTTCGACGGCAGTGCATGGCAACGGAGGCGGCTACTACGGCAAAGGGGTGCCGGGTTACCAGTCTCCCGCTTTCGGTCCATCGCACTTCTACGGCGTCAATGCGCCTTCCACGCACAGTCTCGGATACGACAAGCCCGAGTATGCGAGCACGGCCAATCTGGTCTCCAATGCGGGACCAGCGGGAGGAGACTATGGCCGCATGCCGCACGAGAACTTCGAAGCCATGGCGGATCGCATGGGGCCCATCGGAACGAGCCCGATGCTGTTCGCTCAGCGCGTCGGCGGTGCGCCCGGCCGCATTTCACCAGTGCCACCCACGGGTGCCGGAGGCGACTTCTACAACATGCACGCCACGGGACAGCGTTCGCTGCTGGATGTCGGCAGTGGCGCCGTTCCTGGACAGGCGTACGCATCCGAAGCGGGGCTCGGACGACAAAGTCCGTATCCGCCATCCGGACACGACGGATATGGCAATGCAGGCGAATCGCCGTACAATGCGCGAGGGCTCGACTATCCCCCGCCTCCCAACACCCACGGCGTGGACGGTCTCGACTATCCTCCGCCACCGCCACCCGATGTGTCTTCCTACGTCCCGTATTCGGGTCATGCACACGGCGATGTGCATGCTCCTGCCGTCGAGGTGTCGGTGGCATCGTCGAGCACAGCGCACGAGGATAACAGTGGCCATCTCGCCGTGGGTCAAGGCACGGATGGATTTGGTGGCGAGCTGCATCCGGATCGATACAGCCACCTCAACGGAGGCTCGCGGTCGGGAGCCAACTCGTCTGCGCACAGTCCGAGCACCAGCGTGGGCGGTCTGGACGACGTGTACGACGCCTACCTCAACTCAAACACGCACTCGCCCGCAATCACGCCCGAGCAACGCCACAGCTACATGATGAGCGATTACCCGGCAAACGGCTACGGCAACCCGCAGCAAGCCGAGTATCAGTACTACGAACCGCAGCATGGCGATGTTGCAGCCCCTCATGGCTACAGCGGCGCGCAACAGGGCTACCATGGCTATGCTGAATCGTGGTCGCAGCAAGCAAGCGGGCCTGCACAAGATGCGGCGCAGTACCATCAGCATGACCCTTACCACCACGGCGCAGGACAGGGCTACCCGCGTTGAGCTGTTAGCAGCTCGTTCCTTCTTTCTCGCACTCGATCCGGATAGAGGTGGCGAAGCCGTTCGGCGACGCTCGCCACCAGTCTCTTACACATACCAGCATTCCGTATTCCTCGCATCTTGCAATACATCCGACTCGTGGACCTTGCCTATATCGCTGAAATGCTTCTTGGACGCGTGTGTCCTCAACAATGAATGTCCGGCACGGCTCGAGGCCACTGAGAGTGATGACTGGTCGCCATCTGCTTGGCACGAGGACCCGGGGAAGCAGGTTATTTCTCGGCCGATAAGAAGGTGGATTTCGATGTTAGCTCGGACGGCAAGGTCGCTACCAGTAACGAGCTAACGACACTTCTGCCGGCCATGGCGGATCGTGACTTTCACAGCGCTCTCTGTACGCCCTGCTGCTCCTTGCGAGGCGATCGCATTCCACGCAAGCACGTGCCATCCCATGAGACGATGCTCGCATCCTGTGCATATCCTCTCGAGCATTTCCATCCTATCCTCGAGACAACGATGGCTGGCCTGGATGACGAGCGTCGCAAGAGAGGAAATCGTGCCTTGGTGGGGCTCGCCGGTAACCGCTCTTTGAGAATACCCGGACAGGTGGAGAGACGGGGCGCCCCACGAAATGGACCTGGGGAAACACGCGCCAGCAGCCAGTCGCAGCCAAGGCAAAGTGCGGGTTGAGTGACAATTCACGCCAAAACGAAAAGAAAAAAGGGCAGCATCGGAAAGGCTCCACACACAGGCCCACCGCCTGGGGGACGGATCATGCATGTTCAACCGTGCAGCTGGTGATTCACCCCAGCAGCACCGGCTACGGCTTGGACTGGCCCAAGTTAGCCGGCTGGCGCTTGAGAGCAGAGTCGGTTCTGCGTAACGCAGTCTCCGTGGCCCCTCCAGTACGAACGGACGCGAGCGGATTTGCTGCCGATGCATCCAGCACCGACCGACTGGCTCTCAGCCCAGTGTCCCGCTAGGAACCGCCTTGCCGGAATCTTCGCGCGCCTACTGACGCAACGCATAGTCCCCGCCGAAGCCAGCTTGGGTGTCACCACTGCCATCTTATCGTCCGTCTTCCCTTCCTACCTCTTCCCCACCCCTGCCAGCCATTTCCACCACACCGGCCCCCTTCACGAGCGCTTCGGAGCCCAAGAAAAAGACCGTGAACGTCGCCGCCCAGACCGACGTCGCTTCTGTTCCGAATTCAGTGCACGACTACCATCGTTGCACAAAACAGCGCAGCTTCATCTTCGCTCGACACTCTTCCGTTGCTCAAGGGCATCAAAGCGTCCCTATCGGCATCTGCATCTGGACGTTACCACGGACTCATTCCTGACCATTCACCACCCCGCCTCGAGGATCCTAGCCGCACGTAACCAGGCTCGCACGGCTCATCCACCCTCTCTCACCTCATACTTTGCCAACAGTCCCGCCCAATACACCATAGACACAATGGCTGAAGCACCGCTCACGCCCTTCGGACAGGCGCTCGCCGGCGCCCTCGGTGGTGTCTTCTCCAATGCAGTCATCTACCCGCTCGACACGGTCAAGACGCGCATCCAGGCCGGCCAGAGCTCTGCGGTGACGCCGGGCAAGGAGGTCCGCGACCCCAAGGACCCGACCAAGACCATCGTCACCGTACCCAAGAACGTCGGCATGATCAAGGGCATCTTGCACATCATCCACAGCAAGGAGGGTGCGATGGGCCTGTACAAGGGCTTTGCTGCCAGCATGGTCAACACCTTCACCACCGGCTTTGCCTACTTTTACTGGTACTCGACCGTACGAACGCTCTACCAGAACCGCCTGGCTAAGCGAAGTGCTAACGGCGTGGCGATCATGAGCACGGCTGCCGAGCTTGTGCTCGGTGCCATCGCCGGTGCGCTCGCGCAGATCTTCACCATCCCCGTCGCCGTGATTGCGACGAGGCAGCAGCTGGCCACCTCCGAGACCGCCAAGGACGGCAAGCCCGTCGACGAGAGCTTCATGGGTGTCGCCAGGGACATCCTCAAGGAGGACGGTGTCACGGGCCTCTGGCGCGGCCTCAAGCCTTCGCTCGTGCTCACCGTCAACCCTGCCATCACCTACGGCGTCTTCGAGCGCGTCAAGACCATCATCCTCGCCACCTCGGTGGACGGCAAGATGACGCCGGGCAAGTCGTTCCTCGTGGGTGCGCTCTCCAAGACGCTCGCCACCGTCGTCACCTTCCCCTACATCCTCAGCAAGATCCGTCTGCAGGCCAAGAACACGCGCTACACGAGCGCCATCGACTGCCTCACCCAGATCGCCAAGGAGCAGGGCATTAGCGGCTGGTACCAAGGCATGCAGGCACAGATCACCAAGGCCGTGCTTGCACAGGCGCTCCTCTTCTACTTCCGCGACTACTTTGAGGTCTGGACCCGCCAGATCCTCAAGGTCGCCAAGAAGCCCGTCAAGTAGAACGTGCGACAGAGTCGTCCGGAACGAGTTACCGCTCCATCAACCATTCTCCTCCCTCTTCTCTCCCTCGGGCGCTTCATCATTCCTGCCTGTATCCGATTCCCATGCGCATGTACTCTGTCGTCCCTCTAGACTGTCAACAAGGATTCGTCATGACTCTGACGCTGGCGTTGTTGCGCTGAAAGAACGTCCATACTCTGGATCGGGGGAGATCTGTTATGACGTGTCTCTATCCAAGTGTCTGTCCTTGGCGGGCCATGGCTGGGCGTCACGATCATGTTCTGGCTTGAATGATGGTGGGATGGCGGAAGCGGACCCTCGGCGCCGTGTTGTTAGAGCGTCAGCCTGATCTCGCACGAGAGGCTGGCGGCGGCAACGGCATGCGGCTGTCAAGAGAGGGTCTCCGAGTTCCGGTGAAGGGTCCACGCTTTCCTCAGAATTTTTTTCTGTTCGAGCAGATAGTGCCGCGAAGTGGGTTCAGCCGCAGGGTGAGGAGGAGCGAAGTTCCTTTTTTGTTTTTTTGAGAAAATTTTGGGATTCGCCGCGCCTCTGCCCAGCTGCAGTTGTGCCCTCTTTTGCCTCCCTCGCTGTGCTGAGGGCCAACCTCGAGTGGCTGCAACTCTGGCCGGCTTGGTTTCTCGCAACCCGCTCCTCCTCTCTCCTTGCCAGTCATCCACCCACTCCTCCTTCTGAAGACTACGGAGTTGGACAGACAAGATCGGTACGAAGCACCAAGGAGCTCGTTACCTCACTTCCGACCGCTTGGCTCACCACAAGCCACACTCGACTATCCAAAGTCGATCCTCAAACAACCAGCTAGGTCCGCAGCAGAATCAGTCTTCTGCATCTCCCTTGCGACCTTCCTTCTCACCGACCCAGCCTGCTATCTCGCAGTGCCCGACTCGCATCGACACACTCTGTCTCGCTCCCCGTCCTGACTCACAAAGATGGCGACGATCAAAACCCCCATCGCGCCGGTTCCGACCGCTAGCGACTTCCTTGACATTGTCCTCTCCAAGACACAGCGAAAGACGCCCACGGTCGTGCATCCAGGATGGAAGATCACGCGTATCCGCTCGTTCTACATGCGCAAGGTCATGTTCACCAAGGATGCGTTTGCCGAGAAGCTCGACGCCATCCTCAAGGAGTTCCCCATCATGGACAACCTCCACCCCTTTGTCTCGTCGCTGCTCAATGTGCTGTACGACAAGAACCACTACAAGCTCGCGCTCGGTCAGCTCAACACCGCCAAGCACCTCATCGAGCAGGTGTCCAAGGACTACATCCGCCTCATCAAGTTTGGCGACTCGCTCTACCGATGCAAGCAGCTCAAGCGCGCTGCGCTCGGTCGCATGGCCACCATCATGAAGCGCCAGAAGGACCCGCTGGCCTACCTCGAGCAGGTGCGCCAGCACATGTCGCGTCTGCCGCCCATCGACCCCAGCACACGCACGCTGCTCATCTGCGGATACCCCAACGTGGGCAAGTCGAGCTTCATCAACAAGGTGACGCGCTCCGACGTCGACGTCAAGCCATACGCCTTCACAACAAAGTCGCTCTTTGTGGGTCACATGGACTACAAGTACCTCCGATGGCAGGTCATCGACACGCCCGGTATCCTCGACCACCCGCTCGAGGAGATGAACACGATCGAGATGCAGTCCATCACCGCGCTCGCCCACCTCCGCGCCGCCGTGCTCTACTTTATGGACCTCTCGGAACAGTGCGGATACACGGTGGAGGCGCAGGTGCAGCTGTTCAACAGCATCAAGCCGCTCTTTGCCAACAAGCCGTGCATCCTGGCCATCAACAAGACCGACGCCAAGAGGCTGGCCGACCTCGAGCCGGAGCGCGCGGCGCTGGTGCAGAGCATCATCGACGAGTCCGAAGGCAAGGTGCAGCTTACGGAGCTCAGCACATATACCGACGAGGGTGTCATGGAGACGCGCAACCTGGCGTGCGACGTGCTGCTGGCGTCGCGTATCGAATCCAAGATGAAGGGTAGCAAGATCAACGCCGTGCTCAACCGTCTGCACGTGGCGCAGCCCAAGTCGCGTGACAACGTGGAGCGTACGGCGTACATTCCCGAGGCGATCGCCAACGGCTCGATCAAGAAGTACGATGCCAAGGACCCCGAGCGCCGCAAGACGCTGCGCGACGAGCAGGAGGAGAACGGCGGCGCGGGCGTGTTCAACATCGACATCAAGCGCGACTACATGCTCGCCAACGACGACTGGAAGTACGACCACATCCCCGAGATCTACGAGGGCAAGAACATCGCCGACTTTGTGGACCCGGACATCCTGGACAAGCTGGATGCGCTGGAGCGCGAGGAGGAGAAGCTCGAGGCCGAGGGTTTCTACGCCGAGAGCGACGACGAGGGCTCCATGGTCGACGAAGAGGAGGAGGCGATCCGCAGCGCTGCGGCGGCGATCCGCGAGCGCCAGCACAAGGCCAAGCTGGCGGCGCAGGACCGCAGCATGATCAAGAACCAGGCGCGCGTGCCGCGCAAGTTCCAGGAGCGCACGCTCTCGCAGATGGCCGAGCGCATGCGCGAGATCGGCGTGGACCCGAGCAGCGTCACTGCGCGCGCCGAGATGCTGGCCAAGGCCAAGGGCCTGACGGGCAAGCGCAAGCGCTCCGGTGCTGGCGACGACGACGAGGAGATGGACGAGGACGACGAGGAGGCTTCGTGGGAGGACGACGAGGAGGACGACGAGATGGACACCGAGGAGGCCGACACGAGTGCCTCGAGGAAGGCGCGCAAGAGCAATGTCGGCGGCAGGCTGCTGTCGTCCACCACGGCTCCTGTCAACCGATCGGGTGGCCACGTGAGTGCGCGTGCCGGCCCGGCGCGTGTGTCGGCGAGCGACCGCCAGCTGGCCGGTCTCAAGGACTCGGAGCAGCTGGAAAAGGCGAGGAAGCTGCGCGAGCTCGCGCTGCGTCCTGGCAACTGGCACGCCAAGGCGGGCGAGTCGGACCGTGCGATCAAGGAGAAGAAGCCCAAGTGGCTCTTTGCCGGCAAGCGTGGCAAGGGTACCTCCAGATCGCGCTAAGCTGCGTCTGCGCGTTGTCTTGTTTCTGTTCCTCATCATCTGTAGTATTCGTTCAATCATTCGGTTAAAAATACGCGCTTCCATTTGTGATTCCAGACGCCGCGAGTTGCTGCGCATTTGAGCATCAGCTTAACACTGCGCTGCGTCGATCCGCCTTCATTTGCTCTGTGCTGCTCTGCTCTGCTCTGCTCTGCTCTGCT